TATGAAAGACCCAGCAGGTCAGCAAGCAAAGCTTCTTCCTATATCCCCAAAGACGCCCCATGAATTCCATGTGCGATAAACTCAGTGAAAGCCACATTAAGACCTGTTACAACCAAACCATGGAAAGACAAAGATAAAGAGAGATTCTTGGAAGTAGCAAAAGAAAAGATACTGTTAATGACAAAGGAAGAGCCATAGGGTTAACAGCTGATTACGCATCCAAACCGATAGAGGCCAAAAGCCAGTAGATACCTATTCATCAAGAATTCTCCATCTGGTAAAACTGTCTTTCAGAAATGAGGGTGTTAATATATTCATTCCCAGATGAACCAAAGCCTGGGGTTTACTTGTTTTTACCATATATCCTAAAGGGAATCATCAAGTTGGAATGCAAGGATATTAAACAGTAACTTGAAGCTGTATGAAGAAACAAAGACCTCAGTAAAGGAAACTGCGTGGACAAACACATCCTACCACAGGGACACTATATTGGGTCTTTGCATTGGGCTTCTGGCAGGGAACTTCAAAAACCGCTGGAATTTCTTGTGTGATAGGATTGTTTTTGTTATGCTAGTGAGACAAGTCATTGTGGGTTATCACATGCCTTCAGGTTGGTCACCATATGATTATATAAGGGAAACTCTGGGCAAGGCCAACCTCCAGAGGAGGAGGCTAGAGACTGACTTAATCAGTTAGGCCTTTGTCATGGAAACCTCTCCCCATATCTCTGCACACAAGGGCTCTGGAGCTCTCCTTGATGGCAAATGAATGCTTGTGCTAGGACAGTGACATGATCATATTTTCCAAGCAGAGGACATGATTACTCTGTGTCCATCCCACCAACTTGCCTTTCATATCTCTTCATTTAGCTGCTTCTGACTTGTAGTATTTATAATAAAACTATAACTGAGTTTTCATACAGTCCTTTCAAAGGATTCTGTGAATTGTTTGAATGAATTACTTAAGCCTTGAGAACTCCTGAATTCACAGCTGATTAGTAGGAAGTATGGATGGCCCTACAGACTTATGATGGTTATCTTAATAATCCTTCACCAAGCATCCTGTTCTAACTGGATAGTTAGTGTCAGAATTCAGTCTCAGAATAGCCACAGAAGCAGAGAGTTTGAAGGGATAGTTTAGCGTCCTAGGATCCGCATGGAGCTACATGCACAGAAAGAAACTGGTTCCTTTGCCTTAGCGACTCCTTAGGAACTCCTAACAACTTCTTCATAGTCAAATATATCACCGAGCACATTCTAGAACTAGAGGCAGCAGGCTAATTGAGCCTGAAGCAGTTTTGGGTCCATGTTCAGTAAACCAAATGTTGATTTCTGAGTGAACTTTAAGGGAAAACCCCCTATTTGCCATTTCATTCCAATGTATGATTGGATAAACATGTGATTAAAATCAGATGCACCATGGGAAAGGACATGCTAAGCCAGGCCTATCAATCAAGACAGAAAGTCATCCACACCTTGCCCCTAGCAACCAACTCTTCTTCCTGGGTCCCGCAAAGGAAGCAGTTGAAAAGTACCCTGGGGCTGTGGCGCAATTTCCCCCAGCATCCACTGCTCCCTTGCAGCATATCTACACTGCATGCTTGCTTCTAGATAAGATTCCCTTGCTACTTTGCTACTTGGGTGTGCCTTTTCAATTCTTTGAACAGGATGTCAGGAACCTGGTAACGGAGCTGGAGAGGTGGCTCAGGAGTTAAGAGCGCTAGTTCTTCTTACAGAGGACCTGTTTGGTGTCTAGCACCCATGTCCAGTGACTCACAACCACCTGTTGAACCATCCCACGCCATCTTCTGGCCTCTGCAGGCACCAAACTCACAGGCACATATCCACACACAGGCATACCTGCATAGACATGACTACAAACAAAAATACATTTAAAAAGAATGTAAGAATGTAATTTCTTGCATTACTTAAGAGATAGAAGTCTAACATTGATTATAAATATATGGTAATTGGCACATAATGTGTGAAATGCTGTCTGCCACAAATAAAAGCTCATTATTACCAAAAGGTTTAGCTTCGTACACCAGAGGAGACTTGAGCATATAGTGGGCGTCTGTGTGTGAATACCTTTCTCCTTGGCATCCAGTCACTGGAAGGAAAGGTGTTTGCCAAGAAATAATTCCACGGAAAGCAGCCACAAATTCCCCTGGGCTTCTAGATCTAAAAGCTGGTCTAATTGGCTCTCCCCTGGTATTCTGAAGGAGTGGCTGCTTCTAAGCTGGAGCAGCCGAAAGAGAGTGCCAGCAAAAGGGGATGTCAAAGAAGTCCTTTTCTGAGGGCCACTTATGTCCCAGTGGCCAGACGGCCACCCCTTGCAACATTACCTCTGGGCTGATGGCACAGCCAGCCACCAGGAAGTGAAAGGGTCAACCACGGGCATTATTTAGAAACTTGGGCACCCAAGACAGCAGATCCAGAGGTGTAAAATTATGTGTGACCTGCATTATATCACATGCATTGTTCTGTTCAAGACTAAAGCGGTTAGGATGGGAAAGAGGAAACAACAAATTAGTTATGTAACTTGACCCATAAGCATCTGATTTTTTTAATTTAATTTTTTTATTTCTTTAAAATAAAGTGAGCACACACATAATTTTCAGTGCTCTATGACCTAACAATAAAATCGAAGGGAACTAACTGCTCACCCTCGAAAGACAATTTCTGACATCAGACTTGCTCTCTAGAGGTGCAGGTGAGTGCAGGAATGGTTGTGAGCACATGCAAGCCTGTCTAACTCAAGGATTTCGTATCTATCTGCCCAGCTACTCCAAACACCTATGGCAGGGAGCCTGGGCAAAACATAGTAGCCTAATGAACAGATTAGGAATATCATCCATAATGCCATAGTGTAGTGGGTAGCCATTCCAGCTTTGATCTGGAAGTTCTAACTTCCACTGAGGCTTCAGTAAGTGTCACGCCTACAAGGCGGGGACCAGAGAGGACCCTGAAGACCCGAGATCCGGATGCACCGACTCTCTTGGTTCCTAGACCCTGGATGCTGGAGGTAGACTGAGCAGAGTTCTCCAGAGAACACTGCCGGACTGTGCTACACCTTTCCCAGACCCTGTAGCCTATCCCTTCACTTGTAAGTTACCCCAAAAAATAAACCTCCCTTTTAACTATGTGGAGCGGCCTTAATAATTTCACCAATATTAGGAATATCATCCATACAGTTTGAAATTTGGTTTTTAGCTTTTTTTTTTTGTATTTTCTTAATGGGAATATGGGAACTGTTCATCTTAGCTGTCCAACATTCCACCAGTGGTTCATGTTCTGTGTGCTGGAACTGACCTGTTTCCCTTCTTTGAGAAGATTCCATGTTGCTGTAAGAAAAGTCCATTAACACCAAGGGGGATAAAAGAACAACAACAACAACAACACAAGATAATAGTGTTTTAAAAAACATTTTTAATGAAGAAATAATTCCATTCCAAAATATAGACACACAATTAAATAGTTTAATCACTTCAAAATATAACATGTCCCCAGGAGGTTCCAACACACACACACACACACACACACACACACACACACACACACACACACACACAAAACAATACTTAACAGCAATATCAACAAAACAAAACAACATATTATAGTAGTTTTGTTACAATACCAATGAATATTGTGAACTCTTTAGTGTTTCTGAATTGGTTATTTCAAATGGGGTCAAATTGCAGTAGTCACAATTTAAAATGTCTTATGTTAATTAGCTTCAAGATACAATGAATGCTTCTGATTTTTTTTTTTCTTTTCATTTTTTGGTTCAAGGTAAAAGTGTCCTGTCTTCTGAGGACACAGTGGAGTTCTTTGCTTGTGGTTCCTTGTGTGGAATTGAACCAAAGTGAACTCAGCAACCAAAGGTCGCCATATTTACAAGATCTATCTACACTTAACAGCCAAGAACTAATAATGGTGGACGAAGATGGTCAAAATAAGAGCAGACGCCAGTGCTAAATTATATTGCAACAGTTTGGCTCATGCATATAAGAAAATACGTAATATATATCACACAAAGGCCACAATCTTAATGCAATTCAGTTCACATTACTACTTACAAATGAACCTTCCCTGCCTTATTATAGATCATCCGATAATCCATCTTTGTAATCTCCAACACGTCTCCCTCTGACCAACCAGACTTACCCCAACTTCCATCCCGACAAACCACAACCAATTCCTGAATCCTGTACAGTAGATTTCACCCACCTCCTGGCCACAGTGCTGTGGGGGAGGTTTGGCGGTGTTAGACCATTGCCCATTCATAGGCCATCAGTGCTGATGGACGTGGATGTGCAATTCATTGTGGGATAAGAAAGAACAACCCCTGCGAGATATAGCTGAATGGAATGGACAGGACAGACGAAACCTGCTGGGTTTGCATTTAGAACAGGCCCCAAAAGTAAATTTGGAGAGCCAAGGAAAGGAACCCACCGACAATCACAAAACCCCAAAACAACACACGCCATTTTGTCTCGGTTACAGGACAGGGGTGCTTGAATCTGGTCTCAGTGCTGACGTGGAGCTAAGGGAAAGAAAAGGTGGCTGGTTAGTGAGAAATTGCTCACTGGTAGTGGTTTCCAGAGAGTTCCTGCAATGGCTTTGTACGATGGAGTCAATATCATGGGATGGAGCTGCTTGGCAACGGAGGCTGTGACAAGAGGGACGGTTTTCAGTAGAATGGTTCCAACCTTAGACACACACTTTGATGTAGAAAACCAAAGAGACAACATGGGTCAGCTCAGTCCCGTCGGTGGCGGAGGGCCACCGGCAGGGGCTGAGCTCTGATGTACTATGTGGCTCTGATTCGAGCTGACAGAAATGCAGAAATGCAGGTATCTGGGATGTAGTGGTTTTCAGTACTGAGTATGAGGCACCAATGGCCACCTGCACCATCTAGAGAGGTGTGATTTCACAGAGGATGGGCAGGGGAAGAGAGATGAACATTGAGACATACCAACAAAACCCGCAACAAAATCCACCTGTGCAAAGAAATCAGAGAACTGTGCAGTTTGTGAAACTTTGGTGCTAGCCTGTGCTCAGGGAATTTTGTGAGGCGGGTTTTCTCGAGAGATAGACTAAGAACACCCAGGGACAGCGCGGGGGGTGGGGGGGTCCCTCTACTGATGCCAATCAATCAAGCCCTTCCCCCACTGATGCCAACCAAGCCCTCAGCTATCCTCAAGGCAAATGATTTTGTTTATAAAGGGCAGCCAAGGAGGTTTCTGACCGAATGCAGAGGCAAGAACACCCAAGAGCCCTCTGCAGACAATGGGCTCAGAAAGGGAGTTCTTAGCCACTCAATACAGTCTAGGTGTATGGGGTGGGAGGGGGCTTCTGCTAGCCTAGTGAGCAAAATGAATCTTGTGGTCCACTTAGGACATTCCTCATTTATTCTGAGCACTTTCCCCCTCCTTCAAGACAGGGTCTCATGTAGCCTAGGCTGGCCTCCAACTTACTATGTAGCTGAGGACGACCTTGACCTCCTGATCTTCCTGCCTCCATCTCCTGAGTGCTAGAATCACAGGCATGTGTTATCATGCCAGGTTTACAAAGCTTTGGAAGATTGAACCCAGAGCTTTGTGTATGCTAGGCAAGCACTCGACCAACTGAGCTCCAACCTAGTCTGGATAAGGCCTTTTTCTGTCTTTGTTATACAACTCTACTCTAGAACAAGGATTTCCATCTTACAGAACACATTGGAACTGTTAGGAGGGCTGATTAAAACATGGATCATTAGGCCCAGACCCAAGAGTTTCGGATTCAGTGGGTCAGTCCGGGTTTGGAGCCTAGGAAACTGCGTTGCTAAGACTTTTGGGTGACTCAAACATTGCTGGTCTGAGGGACACATTCTGAGACTCATTGTTCTGCAATGATATTCTTTTCTTTCTTTCTTTTAGAAGAAAAAACCAGGAATTCCAGAGAGGCTGCATGTTTAAGACAGCCCGCGGGTATCTGGCTCTTTCTTTTCCTTATACATCAGATCTTGAAATAACCAATTTCGCTTCCATTTTCCCCAGGATCACTAAGGGAGGCCCTTTTGAGGTCTCTCTACTGAGGGGCCTCGTGAAGGACCATCCACAGGCTTTGATCCTCTTGTCTTTGAGAGTTCTTTCACACACCAGCCTCCAGCTGAGTGTGAAATCCCAATACCACCTGGAAGAGCCTGTCTCCTCCTCTCACGAGACCACACACGGCTGCATGCAGAACAACAGGTGGCCAGGTAAGGCAATCAACATCCAGAAAGGAAAAGCGGAGGGCAGGGCGGGCGGGCGAGCGAGCGAATGTCTGCAAGCGCGCTTTAAGCCCATACTTTTAAAGCTGAAGGCCTCGGAACTACCCGATGAAGGAACTTGCCAATGAGCAGTGCTGGGTAAGACATGCTTCCTAAGGATACAATGTGGAGAGCAAGACCTGGAGGAGTGCAGAAAACTGGAGTCCGTTGGGGGATCTTATGGCACCTGTGGTTTATAAACAGCTTTAGTAACGAGTATTCCAAAAACATAGTTCACAGTTTTTAAGAAGATCTGTGCTGATTTTAAAAACTAGATTCTATATCATTTGAATGTTGTCTCTCTCTCTTTTTTTTGAATATGATATCTATTTGGAAAAAGTATTTACATTAAATTCTATGGCTGACTCATTAGAATATCTTAAAGGAAAATAACCCAAAGTTGGAAATATGCCCCCCCTCCCCAAATCCCATCATTTCTGGTGGTGGCAGGTTTAAGTCATTTCTCAGAGGGACTTGGAGACATGGGCAGGCCAAGGACCCTTCTTGGCTTCTGGGTTCTGAGTCTTGACACTCAGAAACCAAATCCTATTGCAGATTGTTGTTTTTTTTTTTTGGAAAATGTATAGTATATAATAAAACTGTCTTTGCTAAAATCTCAAAGAATCCAGAAATGAAACTCCTAGCTACAAACAGTATTAATATTGTCATTGTAAACTGAACGGGTTCAGTATTGTGTGCAAAGGTTTAAAACGCTCGTTAATACGACTGCCCGGTGTTACCAGCAGCAGGCTCTCAGCCTGTGGGTGTTTGCTTTGAACCAGGGATGAGCCATGTGACAGGAGATGGAGTTGATACATTGTCTAGGAACATAAGTCTTGTCTCCCCACCCCCCCCTCTAAAACACACACCTATGAACTACAAATCTTAGAACAGAAAGCTAGCTGCACTACAGGCATCGGAACACATCTTAGGGGAGGGGGGTGGTGGAGCCGCTGGATGTGGTGGCTCCTCTCTCCGAGCGAGGGTGAGGCTGCGGCCAGGCTGCTGTCTTCCTCCTCTGTGTAGGTACAGCTCTCTCCATCACCGGATGTCATGTTATTTTCATCATCTGTCTGACTATAGCTTGCCTGGGAATAAGGAGTGTGTAATTTTTTTTTTTAAACAGGTGGAAACTGTTTCTAAATTAGGGCTCAGTAGCTTAGGGTCCCCCACCCAGCCCCTTCACGCACACACACTCATGGTGTTACCTTCCTATGAAAATTAGGATGTCTTAGACACTGTGTGTCTTCCGGAAGAGATGGTTTAGAGTTCTCTTCACTAACCTTTCTTCTTAAGGAATCTCTGGGGTACCCCTGAGGCTCACGAAGAGTTAAAGGCACACAATGGTTTACAAACAGGCCCATAGCCTGACTTGAACACAGGAAGAGTCTGCCTGCTCCTTAACTTCCATGTTCTGCCTTTATTCATGAAGGACTCTGCCTTGGCAGCTGACTGACTGATGTCGAGCCAATAAGTTGTTTCCGGACCCTTGTGTAAGACAGGCATGTCCTTTCGGATAATTTTGGGATTGCAGTATAGTCAGAAAGTCCAAACAAGAAGATACTAATCATACAGGTAATTCTAAAACTGCAATTCTATTGAGCTCATTATGAGCATCCTACCAGGGTAAAAAAGAGTTATAAGGTGAAATGTTGCTTTTTTTTTTTTTTTTTTTTTTTTTGTAGCACTTTGTAAGATTGTAAATGCATTTTGCCGACTGGCTGATTTTCAGCAGCAGGCTGGTTTGTGGTTAGGCTCCTGCAGAATGCTATCTAGTCAGTGTATCTCCGCAGTAAGTGACAGAGGGCACCCCTGCTTTATTTCTCACTACCAAATTTCCAAGTAAGGAAAAAAAAAAGAAAAAAAAATGGCTTCTAGGTACAAAAAGAACATGATACAATTTTTATGTGGGTTTATAGCAAGGCCATTTTATTACCTTAAAAATATATGTTTTTCTAAGATCAAGCCTCTGATGTTTAAATAATATACAGAACAAAAATGATTAAAATGTTGGAGCTAAGAAAAAGAAAATGCTATTAAGGAAAAGCCTTTTCCTTTGGGACTAGATTGGTTATAACTGGAGTGAGTATTTTCAGAAACAGCTCCTGGGAATATTTTTCAGTGTAGTCATCGTGAATTAGGAGAGGGTGTGATGTCACATTTTCAAATGCAAGGGAGGGCGACCAGAGTGTGGTTGTAAGATCCCTTTTTAGAGCTCAGAAGGTCTGTCCCATCAGCTCTATCTTATTCACTTGATGGGAACCTGGGGGCGGAGTGAGGAAGTTTGTAGTGTCTGAGCTAGCGTGTATCCATTTACTACTTAAAGCTGAAGAAACATATTCATTCCCCAAGTTAGCAACTGGAGTTGGCCGAGTATATTATCAGCTACACTCATGTGATTCCAGAGTTGGGAAGGGCTATGTAACTACACTAGACACAAGTCCTGATTGCTGTAGGAAGTGCACTAACTTAGGCTGTGACGAAGGACCACCAAGGCCATTAACCAGAGCTAGAGAAGCCATCTAGACTTACGGGGCAGTGGGTCCCACTGTCATTGCAGGGAGCTGAGTCCTGGCCTGTTTATAAAAGCTGAAATAACAAAGTCGTTCTGAGTCCCATGGCTCCACTACACTTCTGTGAACACTGTGGTAGCTCCCCAGGACCGCATGGGATCTGAAGCCTGGAAAGGTACGCAGACATGTGCATGTCCACAGCTAATTATGGTGTGCTAAGCTCTTTCAAACTATATCCCATGTGCCCACCTCCTGTGTGTGAGGCAGGTATAATATCATGAAGTACAAGAGGAAAGTGAAACCCTTAATAATTTGTCTAAATTATGCAAAGTATCGGTGAGATGTGTATTTCAAAATGGTTCTAATAAAATGCAGAGATCAAGACTTAGATCATGACACCCAAGTGATTCTAACAGTCAAGTACTAGATAAAGAAAAAAAAATGACTTGAGAATTTGGCCCATTATTAGGTAAATCTTTAGAGTGGGATGAACTAACGCTTAAGTTACCTTTTATCACACTGAACTCCTCAGTGGGTTTGAATTAGTCACCCTCAAAACACAAGGCCACAGGATTTTTTTTTCTTTGATGGTGTTGTCCCTTGCTACAGTGGACACATAGGTTCTTTGGGAACTAAGGAGCTGACATCTAGAGATGTTGAGGTAGCTTGATCTTTTCCTTCTCTGATGCCATTGGGGATGTGGCCACAGAGTCTGGTTGCACCTCAGGTGCTACGGAAGTTTTCTGTGACAACTTCTCTAATCCACAAGTAAAAAATCGACTTCAGGATGTCTGGGGGGTTTACAGAGGATGATAATGAGCTACCACTCTGATAGCAGCAGGGAAGGCGTAAACTACATCACATAGAAAGAGTGGCCGTGAGCTTAGGCTAAGAGCTGTCACAGCTCAGTCTACAGTGTCCATGCTTCCTCCCAAACAACAGGGTACTTACTTGAGAGGAGAGTGAGAAAAGGACATTGCATTCAACCTTGCAAGCTGACCTGTGGGTGACAAAGGACACAAACAAGAAAGGTGACATGTCAAGTCAGTGAGGCCGTCAAGCTGGTGAATTATTTGGCTGGAAGCCATGCACAGAGACACACACAGAGAGAGAGAGAGAGAGAGTCCAGAGAACGACAGATGCATTCCATCCATCCTGATGCCAACCTTCGGCTGACACAGCCCTTGAAGAAGACCACTCCACCGTGCTCCAGGATACGCATTTGAGTGAGAGCACACTCCCCCGCTCCTTTCCTTGAGACCATCAAGCAAGGAAAGGCAAGGAGAGAGAGGAACCAGAGGTTTACCGGGCATGACAAAAACTCCAGTTAGATCCTGTCATTCATAGAACGACCCCGTTCACTTTACTCATGTGACATTAGCTAATAATTCATTAAGAACCTAGTATTTGTTATCGACTGGAGAAAAGGCACCTGAAAAAAAATCTAGAATTCCAGTTACTGTTGTCACTGAACCTCAGAAACGGAAGATGCGCTTCAAGAACAGGGCCCGGCAGGCATCTCCAACAGCCCGACTTGGGGATGTTGATGATCCAGCCGCATCTCCAACAGCCCGACTCGGATGTTGATGATCCAGCCACATTTCTGTCTCCCTCGTGCAGACCCACATGAGATGCATTTAGGATACCACCCCTTAGGCTTCCCAGAGACTCCCAGCCGGCTTCATGCGAGGCTGGTTCCTTTCTATGGGTGAGCTGGAGAAGGCACAGAGAACGAGCTCACCATGGCTTTGTAATCAGGTGAACGTATTTGTATCTTAGGAGCATTGGCTCTACACACTAAGTATTTTTCTTCTTCTTGAAATGGCTTGAGGAAGATTTTCACTATCTCTGAAAGGCGGCTGCTAAGCCGAAAGGGCTACAGCACATTTGAAGCCACACTTTGTTCAGATGATCTCAGGCATCGGCTTCTCTGCTGCCACAGTCCTCTTGGGAACATTTCCAGGCTCATTCTGCACATAACACAGGAGCCAGACCCAGTTGGCTCTCACTGATTCTCTGTCCTTCACTGACAGAGTGAGAGAGGGCCACTGGTGACCCAAGACTGTGGAAAAAGCTTGTGTGGCCACAAGACAAAAGGTCTGATAGGAAAACAATAACCCGCTGGGGCTGGGACCAGCTGGGCTCTACCAGGAAACCATCCCTGAAGGCTCAGAGCCCCACCACACACCTGTGGAGAAGCAGGCAGTGGAGTGGCCCTGAGCGGCAAATTCATTACTTTTGGCAAGAGTAAGCAGTTGTATTCTTCTTAGTGGCATGAACTGTGTTCTGTGGATTCTCAGATGGGTTAGGGTACTGCGACCTCTTTCAGCGTCTGCCTTGCTGAACGGGGGCTTCCAGTTCCCCACTGTTTCTCGGTAAGTTTTGTCACCTTCCTGCGTATGTTTGATGTGATGTGGGCAACGAGGAAGTCAGGGACAGTTCAGGGGAGGAAGTGGATTGGTGTTTGTTCATTTTTCTTGTGCCATGTGTTATATATATATATATATATATATATATATATATATATATATTATTTATATAACTGTCATTATTTTTTGGCTTTTTATTTGATATGTGGGCTTCTATTTTCCATGTTTGTATGTGGTGTGTGTGTGTGTATGTATGTGCATGCACGCATGCATGTGCATATGTTTGCCAGTGCATGTATTGGTGCAAGCATGTGGGAGCCCAAGGTTGCTGTTGGGAGCCCTCTATTGCTCTCCACCTTATTTATTGAGGTCTTCTAACTGAACCCAGGACTCACCGGTGCGGCTAGCCTGACCAGTGTGCTTGCTCCAGGGAGCCCCTGTTTTTACCTTCTGACTACTGGGATTATGGGCTGGGCCACCACGCCTACCAGATTCTGGAAACCCAAACTCCAGTCTTCACACTTGCTCTACAAGTGCTTTGTGTACGGAACCGTCTCCCCAGGTCCCTACATTTTAACTTAGGAGAAAAGACTTCTTACAATCCCGAGGTGTTTGGATTGGCTGTCACTCTGATTCTGCCAATGTCACAAAGGCCCCTTTCACTTTCTAGATCAGAATTTGGAAGAACAGACAGCTACAAGAGGCATCTAAAACATCACTGTATGAGATGCGTGGACTGAGGGGTACCAGCAGAATATTCTGGAGAAGTAGGGAAGAAAGAGGGAGGAAGACCTGCGTTTTCAGGGAATGGGAAGGACCTGGTTGTGGAGGCCTGTGGGGAGGGGCAGGGCTGCTGCTGCCTCCTGTACCTGGAAGGCCTCGTCCTGCAGTTTCTGCTTCAGGTATTCCTCCATCTGCAGCTCACTCTCCAGCTGCCGCACAGACTCGTTCTCGTAGTTCTCATCCTCGGGTTGGACGTAAGGATCCCTGTCTTCTGGGACGCTGGGAAAAAACATAAGAGGTGTTTGGGAACAGTCTTAACAGAGAAGAGTGGGTGGATTCCTGTGCTGTGTCTCGCTGTCTTCCTTCATGTGTTTTCCCTGAGCCCCCAGTTCACCTTCATGTCTTCTTCAACTCAAAGGAAAACAAAACAGAATGTGTGTGTGTGTGTGTGTGTGTGTGTGTGTGTGTGTGTGTGTGTG